TTCCCAGAACTTCCCATCTACTGTGCACACAGCATAGGCTCAACCACCAAGGAAAGCCCTCGGAAAAGAATATGCCATCTTGAAAGTTTGAAGTCACGAGGGATGCGCTGAAATAGAAGAAACCAAAGGGAGACAGGTGCTGTCATAAATGTGGGTGCTAAGAGCTCTTTGAGATGTTGATGTTGATTATTTTACATGAACACCCAGAAATGGGGTTGCTGGATCATGGGGTAGTTGTATTTTTAATTTTTTGAGGAAACACCCTACTGTTTGCATGATGGCTGCACCATTTTACATTTCCACCAGCAGTGCAGAAGGTTCCCGTTTCTCCGTGTCCTCATCAACAGTTGTTATTTTTATTTTTTGTTTGTTTTCATAGTGACCATCCGAACAGGTGTGAGGTGATGTGAGATAATAGAAAAAATATCTGTATGGGTCTCTGCTGCTAGTTTCTGACACAGGGCTCCTGAACCCTGGGAAATTCCTAAGTGATAAGAGCACTAGGAACACGGTTGGTTCTGATGATGCAATGCTGGGTGAACTCCTGCATGGCTCCTGGACGGGGGCTGGTCACCGGAAAGACCAAAGCCATGATTAGAACTTGGGCGTTTTCAGCCCCGCACCCCATTCTCCAGAGAGGGAATAGGAGCTGGAAATGGAATTAATATTGTTGATTATGTCTACGTGAGGAAGCCTCCATAAAATTCCAAGAGTTTGGGGTTCAGAGAGCTTCCAGGTGAGTAAAACATTCACATACTAGGAAGGTGACATATCCCAACTCCACGAAGACAGAAGCACCTGAGCTCAGGACCCTCCCAGACCTCGCCCTGTGTATCGCTTCATCTCACTGTTCATCTGTGTCCTGTATCATGTCCTTTAAAAAAACTGGTAAACGTAAGTAAGTGTCTCCCAGAGTTCTGTGAGCTGTTCTAGTAAATAATCAAATTCAAGGTGAGGGTCATGGGAACCTCCACTTTGTTGCCACATCGGACAGATGTTGTGTGTAACATGAGGACCTACTTCTACTAGCAATTGGTATCAGAAGTGGAGGGCAGTCTTGTGGGGCTGATCCCTTAATCTTTGGGTCTGATGCCTTCTCCAGGTAGATAGTGTCAGAATTGAGTTCGATTGTAGAACACTCAGCTGGTGGCCCCGAATTGCCTGATGTAGGTCACACCACCACACATCTGGTGTCAGAAGTGCTGTGAGTGTAGCAGTGTGAGAATAAAGGAGACACACGAGTGGAAAGACAGTGGTTTTTTTCTACACAGGTGACACCTCATTGTGATTTGGATTTGCATTTTCCTGATGATTTATGAAGTTGAGGGTTTTTTCATATATTTATTGGTTACTTGTATGTCTTTGGAGAAATGTCTATTCAAGTCCTTTGTCCATTTTTTCACCAGGGTTTTTTTGTTTTGTTTTAATTTAATTTTTTTTTTTTTTTTGCTATTGAGTTCTAGGAGTTATTTATATGTTTTGGATATTAACCTCTTTCAGCTACATGGTTAACAAATATTTTTTTCCGTTCTGTAGGTTGCCTTTTCATTCTATTGATTGTTTCCTTTGCTGTGCAGAAGCCTTTTAGTTGGATTTGGTCCCATTTGCCTATTCCTTGCTTTTTTTGGCCTACGCTTTTGATGTCTTATCCAAGAAATCATTGCCAAGACCAATGTTATGAAGCTTTTCCCTTATGTTTTCTTTTAGGAGTTTTATAGTTTGAGGTCTTATGTTGAAGTCTTTAATCCATTTTGAGTTGATTTTTGGGATGGTGTAAGATTAGGGTCAATTTCATCCTTTTGCACATGGAGATCCAGTTTTTCCAAAAGCATTTGTTGAAGACTATCCTTTTTCTATTCTGTAGCCTTGGCACCCTTGTCAAAGATCAGCTGACCACTTATCATATATGTGTAGATTTATTTCTGGGCTCTTTAGGCTCTTCCATTAGTCTGTGTTTATGCCCGCGCCATGCTGTTTTGATTAGTGTAGCTTTGTCAGGTGTTAGGAAGTCAGAACGTGGGAGGCCTCCAGCTCTTCTTTATCAAAATTGTTTTGAGTCTTTAGGGTCTTTGGTGGTTCCATGTGAATGTTAGGATTGTTTTTTCTATTTCTGGAAAAAACAATGCCATTGGGATTTTGATAGGGAAGACATTGAATCTATAGCATTGGGCAGTATGGACATTTCCACCATATGAAGTCTTCCAGTCATGAACACAGGCTGTCCTTCCATTCGTTTGAATCTTCTTTAATTTCCTTCAGCAGCGTTTGGTCATTTTCAGTGTATAAGCCTTTCGCTTCCTCCATTAACTTTATCCCTAAGTGCTTTATTATTTTGGACGCTATTTTAAGTGGAATTCATTGCTAAATTTTCTTTTCAGATTGTCCATTTGCCCTGCTTCTATAGAATGTTCTCCCCAGGGCCAGAAAACGGAGTCACCCACCACGTCTTTCTTAGAATCCTTGAATGCTTGAAGGGACTAGAAGATACAACCCTTTCTCAATGAGAAAGTTGGCTCATCTTGACTTCTGCGTGCTTCAAAACGCTCTGATACCTGAACGTTTTCCTAATGTCCCTAGCTCCTTATTTTGAAACTCATCTGTGAACATCTATTATATCATTGCTATCTATGTGGAGAGGGCAAAGCTTAAATAACTTTATAAGGCACCTCCTAAGTTTTCTCCTAACCCAATGTTTGGTTTGTTCTTCTTCATTATGGAAATTTCATTCTGGGGATTTACAGAACTAATTTTCTTCTAAACTCTCACTGTAAAACAAACAGAAATGAGTCAAAGGTGTCACAGTTTGCTACAGCCATTATGCTGTGTCCCTGGTGGTCTCCAGGTTGCTCAAATGGGCACAGCAAATTTTACTCCTATGCTGAAAGATTATACCTGAAGTTATTTATTTCTTCTTCTGCCCTGCCATGGGACCTGACACTTGGAAGGGAGCCCTAAGCTGTCTAACTCGATCATTTGGTCCTGCTGGCCTCAGTGTTACATAGTAGGGAGTAAGATTGCCTCTCCACAAGGGAGGCAGGCCGAGAAACATTGCCTTGTCTGGGGCGAGAGCTAAAGGAGCCCCGAGGAAAGTGGAGGGATATCTGTGAACCTGTCTGCTGTCTGCAAAGAGCGGTCAGAGCTGGCAGCTCCAGCCCCTGGAGTCGTAGGGGGTTGTGAGGGGTGGTGTCAGTGCTCCAACCAGAAACTATCATGCAGAAAGTCATGGAGTGGTCCTTACTGCAGGCACAACCCTGGGCCTTTCTAGAAAAGAGTCGGGCCTCGGGCCCAGAACAGTTTTGACCTTTTTACCTCCACACCCAAAGTGCTGGCCTAGAATAGTTCAGGGAGATACAAACTGCACCAACCGTCCTTATTTTGTCTTTAATGAAAAGCACACATACGAGTGTACACACCATGATGACAACAAATAAATATAAAATGCTCTTATATCTTTTTAAAGAAAAGAACCCTCATACAAATTCAGAAATACAATGAAGCTAATAATAATGACAATAGTAATAATGAAAAAATAAAGTAGTTGCAGTCTCATTATTCAAAGTCCCATTATTCAAAGACAAGCACTCGTGATATTTTGGTATGGTGTCTGCCTAGCCTTTCTTTTTTCCTTTATATTTTGCATATATATGGGATCATGACATTGTTTTATAACCAGCTTTTTTCCCCCCACATACTACTATCCAGTAAACATTTACCCAAGTTGTTAAACAGTCTTGTATTATCATCATAATAGTCAGGTATTATTTCATTACTCAGTGAAATGAGTTTTGCTTCCTTCTCAAATGATTTCCACTCTCTAAGTTTGTTTTCTTATCTGTATCACAAGCCTGCTCGCCACAGATATTTTGTAACTGCTCTTATTTTGGAACTTCTTGGTGTCATTTCTACCATTTGTACCCCTACTAGAGTTTATTCAATGATTCCCTAATGTTGCATTTTCAAATTACTCCTTTTTATTTTATAGCTGTTTTATTCTCACACAGCAATCATTGTTTTCTTCAACTAAATCACTGAACGTAAACTTATAGAATCAAGATTTATAGGATAAAAAATTGTCATCGGAAAGTTCCTGAATATTTTTATTGTTCAGTGAATGTGGTCCAGACACCTCCACGAGTCAGGCACTGTGCGGGGTGCCTGAGTTGTATGTATCATACATGGCGGACATGGCTGGTATGTGCCCACATGCAAAGGAGTTAATAGGGGCATACATGGATATGACACGATATTGGCTTGTATACCTCTTCATGTAAAGCACAAGGCATGACCAAAATACACTTTCTACAATATTATAAGGGAGACTTGGCTGTTTAGGTTGAACTGCTAAGACGAGTTGATAGAAAAGGAAGAAAACGTTTACTTGACTTGTGCAGTTAAGTGCCACTGTCAAACACAAGCTCTGTTTCATTGCAGCTTTCACTGCTCTCCATTTCTACACAGACATAGATGCAGTGAGAGGGGAGAGACAGACACAGGTTCCTTGAACTGTGTAGGGCTCCGGAAGGTATTTCTGAGACAGACCCCTGAGAGTCATCATGAGAGAAGAGATATAAAAATAAATTAGATGTAAATCCTGTTCTTAAATTTTAGCATTTAGCAAACTGATAGGAAAATGGCAAGAATAATGAAAGAACTCTCACTGAAGTGCTGTAATCATTACATCCAGGAGGGTTCAGGAAGGCTTAACAGGAGGTGGGTCTCACAGGATGAATAGAATTTGAATTTGTGTAGAGGAGGGGCTGTGTACTCCGGGCCAAGAGAATTTCATAAGAACAGGAAAAGAAAAGTGAATCATGGGTGGCACGTACGAAAAGTAGTCAACAGTTCAGGTTGGCCAAAGAGAAAGCTAGAGACAAAGCGATAGTAATAATTGCGCTTTCCTGAACTCTCACTGTGTGGTAGCTGCTGGGTAGAGGGCTTGATACATTATCTTGTTTGAACTCTCCAACTCTGCATCGGACCACTTCATGCTCATTTTACAGATTGAGACCATGGAAACCCATTGAAGATTTGAGGCAAGAAAAACTGCCCCTTTGGAGCCGTGCTCCTGGAAGATTAATTTGACATCTGTGTACAAGATGGGGCGTCACGGAGGAATCATGGAAATTGGAGACCCTTTCCATTGTTAAGGCAATGGCAATAGTCCAAATGACAACTGATGAAGACCCGGTTTGTAAAGCGACAGTGGAGGAGAGAGGATGGATGGAGATGTGCTGCAGAGGTCAAATCTGGAGGACGCGTAGGTTGATTGCATGTGGAAGGTAAGAGAAAAAACAATGACACTAAGGTTTCAACCCTGGATGATTGTGATGATGGTGGCGCCATTAACAGGAGGAAAACAGGAGGGTGTTGGGAGGACTGACGATGGATTTGGTTTGGATTATGCTAGGCTTGCACAATAGCCAGCGGTGGATCTACTGCCGACGATGGGAAAGGGGAGGCAAGAATCCAAGAGACAGAAGTTTGAAAGCTGAGATGTAATAAGAGTTAATAATAGGCCAGTAGCTGGACACATTTCACAAAACTGGCCACTCCATAAAGCTGCATCACAGAAATATATAACAGGACAATGGAAGTCCCCAATTCTGCAGTTCCAGGGTTATTTAAAATGTATTATCATTTAGTCCTTTAGCTCCAAATTATGTTTAGTGAAGATTAATTAAGCAAGAATAGCTGTTCAAGACACTCATTTTACTTTGGCGGGGGGGGGGGGCTTTTTTTTTCAGCGCAGGTGTGTGTGTGTGTGTGTGTGTGTGTGTGTGTGTGTGTGTGTGTGTGTGTGTTTCTCTAACAACAAAATAGAAGAAAAGTAGTTTTCGTGATCCGTCCTTCAAGATTAGATAACTGGTAGCATTTTTTTTTAATCCCCAAAGCAAATGACTTCCTTTCAAATCTAAAGCATAAGTCATAATTGTGCTATCTTTCTGGGGCTTCTGCCTTTTGTCAGATTAACAGCTTTAGGGGGGAAAAAAACATATTTTCAGCTGACCTGCAGTTGGACCTAACATTTCTTCTTCAAACTGTTCTCAGCCATTTTAGTTGTGGAGGAAAGGACACACTTTCAGAGCCTGCTGTGTGTGGCCCGGAATCGCTTTTTTGGCCCCAAGCCGTTTAATCGGCCTACCTTACAGGGGCCACTTTTGGCTAATGAACCCTTAGCTCCAAGTTTCTTTTCCTCCTAATGAGTGCTAATAAAATGCATTTAACTCCACGAATGCAACAAAAACTCAGCATTATTTCATTGTATCTACTTAATAAGGGACCTTGTTTAATATTGAATTACAGCCTGCTCAGCGAAAGCATTATACTGGGGGAAGTGGGACTGTGAGAAGGGAGTATCAAGTGCCATAATTTGGACATTCCTCCTTAATATGCCCTGCAGTCTTACGTGATTGCTTAATTCATTTAGCCAAGCAAGTCTGATCCTTCTGCCAACTGTTTTGTACAATTTACTGCAATGCTAGGCAACCAGCCCCACCACACAAGCTAGAAATATAGTATTGCTTTTCCTGGGACCAAGCTATTAACAGTTGTTTGGGGAGAGGCGGCAGGCGATGGAACAGATACTGTTACAAAAAGGAAGAACTTTTGGATGTGACTCCTTTTATAGCATAGTTACAGCCAATCCAGTGTTTATTGATCAAAAAGCTTTCCCCAAATTGTCTATGATCTAATTTCAGAAGCAATTCATCTTTATTTTTAGATGTATCTTCAATGTGTAGGGATGTCTAATCTCCTATTTATCTTAGCTGTGAATGTCTCTGCTTTCTGTTGAACCAGCCCTTCCCTCAAGTAACTATCAGTAACAAGTATCTATTGAAAGATTTCCATTTAAAGAAAGCAATCATTTTGTAACTGGAATAAGCATTGCTTCAATTCGTTCATTTTAAGGTTTGTGTCTATTGGGATTTCTTAAAGGGAAGTACATCTATGATCGCATTATTTGGAAATTAGAAATAAGAACCATCATTTTTACTGTATTGAATTCAGTGATCTGGAAATATTCCTGGATCTCCTGTCACCTGAGACAGATCACACTCAGAGACATTTTTATCTATATCGTTTCTGAAGGTGCAAGAGTCTTTTAACTTTGACGGCCTGCTTATTAAACTGGTCGATACACTTCTCTTGGATTTTTAAAGCAGTTCAAAAAAATTGTGACTTTTCCATGGATTTATGAAGGGAAAAGCTATTGACTAAATGGGGAGACTTTCTTCCATCTTTTATTGTACTGTACTTATTCAGAAAAACCTATTTTACCTATAGATATGAAAAATAGTTTACAAATTGTTTAGGAAAATGACAGTGTAACGGAGTAATAGTTATTTCTTGAGACCTGATAACTGGTCACCTGGTAAGAAAATGGCAGGAATCCATTCAAGATTTGCCTTGTACAGATTATCTAGGAATCATTAAAACCAGGAGGTTGCAGAATTATCAGCTAAATGGCCTGAGTCAAGATTTCATTATGACAAACTAAGAAGTATAGTTGCTCTCCCTCTATTCTTGCTACTCCTTGGTGGGTAAAGGGAAGGGGATAGCCTGGATACCCTCTGGCCAAGGACATGGCAGGAATTACTGTCAGCCATACTGTTCCGTAGCATTCCGACATCTCACAAGAATAAATGGGTGTTCCCACCTAAACAAGAAACGCACCTGTGTTCAAAAATGAGTCTGGATGAGACAAACACCACTGCTTATACCTTCTAGTTTTAAATTGAGTTTCTTTTCTTCTTCCAAACCCTAGTTTCTGGTGAGACATAAATACATTTCAAAATATGTATGACTTTGGATGATGGCATGAAATAAGCCGGTAATAAAAGAGCTAATAAGTAGTTATTTTGTGATAGGGAATATTAATATGAAAATATGCCCTATATAATCCATCTTTCCCTCTTTTTTTTTGAAACTCTGGTTGTTGATCATTTTTTTTTAATTTATAAACAATGCTAAATAATTTTACATTAAATCTCTCCAACTAGCTTTATTTCCAGTGTATTGGTAGAGAAATGTTTCTAAGTAGCTTTGTGGTTCAGACTACATTTGACGAAAGGCTAGTGAAAACATAACCCCAGGTAAACTTCTGAGCAAGCAAATCGGATATTAGGTTTTTCTTAAACAAACAAACAAAAACTTAGAAGGATAAGGATACTGTTTTAGAAAGCATGTCTTTTTTTCAAAACATAGGAAAGGCTAGCCTTTGTCCAAACAAAGTCATTGCTAGAAATGGCTGGGATTAACTGGCTTCTGAGCAGAGGTTTGCCCCGCTGAGATATTGCCCTGTTGAACTCATGTAACTGTGAGAAGGAGCTTCGATTACTTCAAGGAAGACGCTAAAAAAGGCAGAGGTTTATTACCTCCCTAATGGTAGCTGAGCCGCTGTGCGCCTAGAATAAAACGCTAACACCGGCCCAGCCTGGCTGGGATTTAATATGCGGCTCCGTTTTCTGACTTGGACATCCTGGAAGGGCTCCCTTTAAAGAACCAAGACTCTGGTGAGAGAGAAGGAACCGAGGTCATGAAACCTGTTACAATTCTAAACTTGGAAGGAGCTAGGAAATGAAGTTGCTTTGTTTATATAAAAGGGAAGTGTGGAGGCTTAGTTTAATTGTTTGAGCACGAACTCATTATCTTTCTTATAGTTGTTGAAAGTCACTGTTACCCACCCGTCCAGGTTGGGGACCCAAACCAAGGTCCTTCACGCCAATAGAATGAGACTGAGTTTGGTAAAGCAGAGCAAAAACTTTATTCTTTGATTAAGGACTGGAGAAGGGTGAGCTTGCGCTCTCACAACACAGCTAGGAAGGAGCCGTCTGTGTTTATAAACTGTGGTGTGGAGTGATTCAAGTCTTTCGGACATGCGGAGTTACCCCGCTGTTGCACTCGGCCCTTTCGTCCAGGCCCTGTTTGCACACGATGCCCTATTGCTATGTTGGTCTTTGCACTCAGCCGTCTTCGTTTTGCGATGGGACTCCTTTTCAGTTCCTGGAAGCAAGCACAGCCCGTGACATCGTTAGGGTCTTTTGGATGATAGCCCGGTGACATCACCACCTACTTCCCCCACCCAAATCCTGGGAATCCTTCTAGGCTGTTTCTTCTCATTAGTCTCTCACAGCCGTGGGGGAGAACATTTCCCCTTTGCTCTCGAAGCTGTTCTGCCTGGTCTAATAATCAAATTGGTCTGAGACAGATTAACAGAAGACAATTACCCAGCTTAATAGTGTATATACATACGGGGGTTCCAGCTGAGGCTTATGTGCCACTTTGTGCTACAGGGAAACAGGGGCTGTGGTTTCAGACTTCAAACGGGAGGAACGCAGTTCAATGGAGATGAAAGCAAATGTTTGTAAACAAATGTTTGCTGGGTCATCGTTGATACTGAGACAGTACTGAGACAGGGCTTTGAACAAGTCTTTCCTTGCCAGGCTCCTACTTGTCAATCACGAACTAATTCAGATTAAACTATCATTATCGACCCCTCCCTGGAGCAGGTCCTCTGTGGAACTCCTTTTAGACCAGCGGTTCTCAACCTGTGGGTTGCAACCCCTTTGGGGGGGTCGAACGACCCTTTTACAGGGGTCGCCTAAGACCATCGGGAAAACAAAAAGATATTTACATTATGATTCATAACAGTAGCAAAATGACAGTTATAGAGTAGCAACAAAAATAATTTTATGGTTGGGGGTCACCACAACACGAGGAACTGTATTAAGGGGTCGCGTGGCATTAGGAAGGTTGAGAACCACTGTTTTAGACAGTTAGGGGGAGGTCACAGGTTTTCCCCGAGCTTAGAGAAAAAAGAGCCCATTTTGTTGTGATGGTCACAGGAAACATCCTTGAGGTTAAAATTTGAATAGGACTTGGAAAGCGGGCGGGAGGATTGGCGACAGGAAAATGCATAGTAGGGACTCATACTCGATTTTGCTCATTATAATAACAAGTTTGGGTATATATGAACAAAAAGGTACTGATAAACTATTAAGAAAAAAATGTGCTTTAGTCTTTTTTCCAGCAGCATATAGAATTCTGCACTGATCTACCCACATTGTCTCAACTAGTCCGTTGTGTGGCCCAGAGCACACAGTTACCTCTAGCTGGTGTCTGGGTACAATGTTTTGAAAAATGCAACTAACCATTCATCACATCTCTGCAACTCGCCATAAGTAGCCACGACACTCCTCAATTCATGTCTTAAAGAGAAGTCATCAGCCCCCTTGTGGGACTAAGGCACATT